CCATGATTTTTTTGGGCATTCCCACAATGGCGGAGGAATCAGCCAAACACTGTGACGTGGAGGACTTGTCTCAAATGAAGAAGGGTTATGAATGACCAGGCAAGAGCTTTAGGATCTTCGTTTATATTAGAAATGCTTTGAGTTAACCTGTTAAAGGTGCTCTTCCAGGTTCTATGTCAGAACACCGGCTAATGCGTCGTGCCTTGTGGTGCCACTCTTGCATTGTGTATTCGGGCATTTTAGGGGCGAAGCAATGAAGGGAGGGGTGTGTTTGTTTTGGGTTGATTTACACGCATCATCAGTGTTTCTAAGAAATTATTTTTTTTCACTAATATTTTTTCCAAAAATGTATTCAAACAAAATGATTGGCCTAATTAAACCTAAATTCATAAAATTATCTCATGACGGGAACCCCTAAAAGGTTTTATATATCAAGCGCCTGACAGAACCTTTTCCTCCAAGAGTGATTATAGGGCGAATTTGGCTTTTATTTTTCAAATTTGGGATTATTTTAATTGACGTGGTTACATGATAACCTTTCATTCAGACTGGGCTACTATTTAGATTTTGGGATGGGCAAGGGTACTCGAGTAATCGTACGTGACAGTGACAATTGATCAAGCGATGGTCGCCCTGAAAAATATATATTTTTTTCTGATTGGTAATTGTTGCATTTGGGGCGGTTCATGAGGTCTGATTTGTTAAGTTAGACAGCACGCCTGCCAGACCGGCGAAATAAAGTGAAACTGGATTTGAAAGCACGCACTGCAGTTAATTGCTAGCCTTACTTCGTCATACTCGTATTCAAGAAAGAATATGAGTCTGAAACTCCTCCATTGGGCTTTGATTATGAGGCGTGTCGTAACCGAACCAGGACAAAAAAAAAATCACTGCACTCAATTGGATAGTCGGTAGACCTACCAACCAATCAGAGCAACGCACAAGTCAACTCCTTTGCATAGCGCAGTTTTCAAATACAGAACGTAGCCTACTTTATTTATTTTAGAAGTTAAATAACGAGTGTTATCAAAGGAGAAACCACAACGACCACAGGCTTTTCATTACGTCCCATCTTCTTAACGACCGTCAGAGCCAGCTGATAAGTTACACTTTTCCCGAATCATGTAGGAAGGACGGCAAAAATATCTTTCCGATCGACAAATGCCTTGATTGCAGTTCTCTGTTTGTCTATTAAAATGAATGTCTTTTTTTTTTTTTTTTTTTTTTTTTTACTACAAAAGATTTACTATACATCTCAATTCTCCAGCTGGAGTCATCTTTGACAAGCGCACTTTGATGACGTGAGGATTACGTTACTGAAGACCACCTGTCAATCATCGTATAAAGCCCGCCCTGGCAATTTGATTGGCCCAATGATTTCTGAACCGATCATAATTACTCCTCAATGGATCGAGTCCAGACCGAACTTCCCGTCCCAAAAATGTTGTGGGCGGAGTTCGGGCTGACATCCAGGCTAGTTAATTGCAAGATGTGCAGCATCAATCTATTATTATAGATAGGCTATACCCCCCCGAGTACTTGAGTTTTTGTTTTTGAGACCTGTCAATGGTCGAAATGATACATTGACAAAAATGCCCATCCATAAAAAACTGATTGTTAGGGTGAATGTACAGTAAACGCAGCTAGTTTCTGATATATCAAGATTTGTGAATGATGAGAAGTCTCAGTACAATACATCCAATTGAGGCATAATTTCATCTGTCAAATCTTAATTAACACAATGACTTCATTTTTTTTTTTGTACAAAGTACAAGTAGGCCTATGTATAAAGTGCTTAGAGTATTTTTGCTTTGCTGATTTAGGTTTCTCATCTGTTTTTTGGCTCTTCAGGGGTAATCGACCTTGGTACAGATTTTGAGGGAGAGATTTTTCTGTTCCTGTTTGATCATGTTTCATCATGTATGTTGAAGTATTTGAAATACTCTAGAACAGTTTGTACTGCGATTCCCCCGTCTTCTTTCCACCTGACCCTATCTGTACAAAACACTTTTCTGATGGTTTATTTAAACATATGGAGGCTGCCTTTGCCAACGAAGTTCCGTTGGGCTTTTTCAGTCGGCGTGGCATCAGTGAAAGGTACTTGTGATCTTTTTTTTAATGTTTATTGTCTATCCAGACATTGGCACTGATCCATCACAACATGCCTGCCAATGCCACAAGGCAGATTGAGATCTCAGTCGAATAGCTGTATTCTATAAAAAAAAAAAACATTTTCCTGTGTCTACTGTTACTCTTCAAGTATAGCGAGGATGATGTTTTCAGAGATGATTTTTCCTGAATTTCATTACCATCAGGCTGAGTGTTTCAACCACAGTAACTCTTTGTTCTGGAAGTGAAGCTCAACTGACAATATAAAACACTCTCTCCATTGAGGACCAACTACAGAGAGAAATAACAGGGCGAATTCACCAAACAATTGTGCCACATCATTTTTTTTGTGCTTTACCCTCAAAAGAACTTGCCCTTGATTGTAGCTACTAGCTGTTATTCGTGGAGAAGAGTGTTAAAATGGATATATCTTGAGATTGTTACAGTACCTAATTTGCATTTATTTATTTTTTTGGTTAATCATGGTGAACTATGAACTACAATCTCTTTCAGTTTTGTTTTCAACAAAAGCACACCGAGATCAAGCATTATATAACATTAGAATTATAATAGATGCATAAACTCAAAGCAAGCCTGGCTCATTAATATGATAATTTGAATGTTTTGAGGTCAGCAAACAAGTGTAGCTTTTAATATTTTTATAATTATGTAGGCCATAATTTAATACATCCTCTCCTCCACTCCACCAATAGGCCTACTACTTCAATAGAGTAACTACCGCTACAACTTGCCACTATCACTACCGCAATTAAAATATTTAAAGGTCCACTTAATAGTTTTGCTTTCTAGACCATATAGCAGCAGAAATGAACTAAAGTGGAATTTAAATGGCCATGTTTAATATTCTAATTAATTAAACAGAATGGATTTGTATGTCCAACACATTGCTTGCTCTCTCATGCATTTTGAACACTGGCCGTGGTTTTGCATTTAAACAACCCCCCCTGTTACTAACTAAATGGATTGTTATATCTATTATACTGTAGCTGCAGTCCGTAGTTTTTTATTTTTGGATTAAAAATAATCCAAAATACATTTTTGAGAAAATACACAACCAGCCAGTGTTCAAAACTATCTGCTTGCCTTAGCTCGATAGCTCTAATAATGTTTTTTATTCCAGTGGTACTGGTGGATTTCCGTGGGAGATTCGAGCATGTCTTTGCGTCATTACATCACATCTGTACACATAAAGAAGGAGTCTCAGCTAATAGGCTATCAGTGTGAGGATAATCTGTGATTCTGAATGCCAGTATCCACATTGGCGCGGTGAATGACAGCATCAAACATTGTGTTCATCCACGCTGTGCCAACTTGTGGGTGTTGAAGTACAAATCGCGTAAAGTTGTTAATTCCGCGAATGACTGCAATTGCAGATTTAGAACAGAGATGGCGACAAAGAGGGAAAATGCCAGACTGCGGTTTGCTTCTTGGACATATAGCCTGATGCTGTCAAGCTCTAAAAAGTGGACCACGTAACTTGTTTGCTGTATTTTAATGGGTTACGAGAGAGCTGCTCTGATTGAAAGGTGTTTTGACATTTTTGGAAATCCACAGCTAATAAAAGCAGTTAATTAGGATAATTTTTTTTCAATAAAAGTGGTTTGATCATGTGTAAGTGGTTGTGAACTTGGGGACGGACACTTTATTCCCACTGTAGTTTCTCAGTCAAGAGGACCCAGTGTAAACAGAAAACAAGAAATGTCCCCCATAATTCTCTGTATAGGTTCCTCCTTCAGAGATCCTAGAATTACGAGCTGTCAGGCAACACTAGCTCAGGACTTGTCTTTTGGAAGACAAGCAGCAGTGTCAGGGTAGCTGGAGGTAATTCATCGATCTGAGCTTTCCTTCACTCATTAAAGAGCAGAACAGATAATCACTGCTCCCAAATCTCAGCCTCTAGTTTCTTCTGCATAGAGAAGATATGTGCTGTAACTGAAACCTAGCACTGCTACAATATTTGATATTTTAACAATATTTTGTGTTTTCTAAACTCTTACTAAGCTATCTATCTATATACACACTGCCCGGCCAAAAATGTCACTGTTTGGATTTGAATAGACAAATACTTAAGGATTAGTTCACCTCAAAATTAAAATTTCCTGATAACTTACTCACCCAAATTCCATCCAAGATGTTCATGTCTTTCTTTCTTCAGTGGGAAAGAAAGTGATTTTTTTGAGTAAAACATTTTTAAGGATTTTTCTCTGCATAATGGACTTCCAAGTCCAAATCAATGCAGTTTCAAAGGTCTATGAAGTGCTTCAAAGGGCCATGCACGATCCCAGCTGAGGAATAGGGTCTTATCCAGCGAAACGATCAGTTATTTTCCAAAAAATAAAATAAAATAAACATTTCTATACAGGTGCATACATTTTTTGGTCAAGATATTGTATTGAAAATGCAATAATCGAGTTCTCTGTAAAGTGTCCTTCTGCACATCCCAAAGACTTTCATTGAATTTAAGGTCTGGACTCAGAGGAGCCAATTCATGTGGAAAATTATTCTTCATTCTCCCTGCAAACCGTAATTCCACAATTTGAGTCTGATGAATCCCGGACTGACCCTTCCGGTGTAAGTGTGTGAATTTTTGTCTAGAGGAATTAAAAAAGTCTGGCTACACCCTAGCAGGACTTCAACAAACCTCAGATCTTTTCAAGATGAGTCAAGGTTTGACTTAGATTAAACCAGTCAAAAGCTCTCTCTGATGCATACTTTTTATTTTTTTAGATCTCAATCAAAACTGTACCTTGGCTTGTCGTTTTGGCAAATACAGACACATTCCCCAAACACAAGTTGAATCTGGGTATCATTTCATGTATTGTTCATCTGACAGCTTCTTGTTTTTTTTTCTTCTCTTTTCTCCCTGCCAGTGTTTACATTGCCTGACTCAGAGGATCAGCAGGAAGTAAGAACACAGACAGAAGAATATTAGGTACGTTACGTACAAAGCTGTGTAATATTGTTTGATAGCATGAAATGAACCATCTATTATACCCTGTTTATGGGAGTGAATGAATTATAGGTTTATTTTATTCCATTTCAGGGCTGTTTGAATGGGAATGCTTGCCTCAGGATATAAATGTTGCACTCCTGCTTAGTAATGCTGATGATAAAGGCTTTTTTAATTGGTTGTTTTTCAACTTTCACTGTTCGTTTTAATGGCGTAGTGAGTTTGTTTCACCTGAGCACAGTACCACAAATTCTGCAATTTTTTGAGGAGAGGCTATCAGACTTATGATTTTTGATGATATAACATTCTTAGATTAGACTTGAGAAGAGGACTCTTTTGACCTGGGTTAGTGAGCAGCCATCCATATTACCCTAGCAACTGCATGGCAACAGGCTAAAAATCATTCTAAAAAGTTTAGTCACCGCATAGCAGCACCCTCATAACCGCGTAGCAACACGTTAAACGTTGTGAACACTAGCATCTGCCTAACAACACCCTGGCAACTGCATAGCAATAGCCAACAATCACTCCAAACTGTTTACAGTGAAACATTGAAAATACTTTAGTAACTGCATAACAACGCCCTGGCAACCACCCTCAGCACCCTAGCTTCATAACTGCTACTTTTGGACTGGTAGGCTTCATTGTAAAATGCAAAATATAGCTGCCATGTTACTGTGTCTGATATACATGTAGGTATTGCTGTTTCAACAACTGAATCTTCAGCCTATGTGTTTCTTTCGTTTTGGCCTTAAGGGGACATGCTGTATGAACAAGTGCAAGGGGGTTCTCACGTTGATAAAGATAAACAAGCTCTGATGCCAACAAGTCCTTCACTTGGTCCTTCACAAACTGCTTCGAGCCAGATACTACACTTCTTTGATATCACTGACCTCTTAATTACTGACTAGGCACTTGGCCTGTTTCATCTCCACAAGACTCTGAGTTCTACATGACATCCGATTGCTGTCCTTTGGGGCTTTTTGAGAGGGGTTCTCCCAGCGCGTAATTGTAGCCTCTGGCTTTCGAGGATGAACTCGCTTTTTATTCCATGCTAGTTCTCACTCTCTGTTGAGGCAATGCATGCAGTCAGCTCTGACAGGCTTTTTTGAGTTGACAGATGGCTTTCTCCTGAGTTGATTCTTATAGTATGTTTTTGAGAAGAGAAAAAAAAAATCTAAATTACACCCTTTATCTGTAACAAAGTCACAACTGACATTATTATTTGTACTTTCGGTATGGTTATAAAGTCGTATTAAAATGGCTTTTTTAAAAGTTGCTGTTAATGCAATATTTGAATACCGAAAAAAGTGTCTTTTAAAGGAGTAGTTCACTTTTAAAAAAAACTTACTTACTTAAAATGTACTCACCCCCATGTCATCCAAGATATCCATGTCATTATTTCTTCAGTCGAAAAGAAATTAAGGTTTTTGATGAAAACATTCCTGGATTTTTCTCCATATAATGGACTTCAATGGGAACCAAACGGTTCAAGGTCCAAAAGACAGTTTCAGTACAAACTGCAAACTGTCCAAAGGGCTTTAAACGATTCCAGACGATGAATAAGGGTCTTATCAAGAGAAACGATCACTCATTTAAAAAAATAACAAAGTTTTAGTTTTATAAGCTCAAATGCTCGCCTTGCTCTGTTCTGTGATGAGCGTTCGTGACTCTCCTGTTCGAACTCGTTTATCAAAATGAACAAATCTTTTTTCTTGTCATTTGGTTCATTCAACGAACGAAATGAACGAGTTGACTCGGGAAAAGATTCGTTCATTTTGATGAACGAGATCCAATAGGAGAGTCACGAACGTGAAAAGTTTTTTTTAAAGTGAACTACTTCTTTAATGTTAAATCTGTTAGGGTTTTTTGTTCTTATCAATAATTTTAAATTATAATTATGTATTCATTTTATATGTTTATTATTTATTTTGTAAGTTAATTGTTGTGAGAACTAAAATACTGATTTAGTATTTAGTAGTTAAATGAATATTGTAAATATAGTGTATAATATAGTAAAAATTCATCCCTTATAACCCATCCTATCCCATATAGTAAAAATTCATCTCATAAAGTTCTGCAAATGAATCGTAGTCATTTATTATAGTTCGAATTGAACATATGATTACAACAACAAATACTTGTTGTAAAATATTTAGATGCATTAGAAGTGAAATTTTAATTCACAATGTTTAATGGGGTGGTTGCTGCTGAGCATTTTCTGACTTTTTTTTATCAACTTCTGATTGGTACATTTTCGTTATTATTTGTAGTGTAGTTTGTCACAGCATCTTATACACGGTTTATGATGATTATTATTATCTAACAAGTTGAAATCACTGAATTAAATCTCATGATGAAAAGCCATGCTAATTTTTTAAAAAAAAGTTTTTTTAGGGTATTTTTTTACATTGTTGCAGCACTTCTCTTCCTAGTCTCCGTAATACGCAATACGTCCCCAACGGACGTTGTAGTACACAGTGAAAAGCGTCAAACGCGGGTAGAACAAAAATGGCGGAGAGTTAAGAAAGGTTGATTCTGTCAGTTCTGTATGATCTCTCTGATGAGGGTCATAGATGTATTAATAGGAAGGCTGCTGCGTGAGGAAAGTTGCTGAGGATGTTGACATTGTCAGGTCGACTAAAAAATGTGATATGGGGGTCAATAGTTCAATGTCTGCCCTAATAACATTAGAAAGTCATGAAAATAAAAAAATGATGACAACTTATTGTTATAAAATCATTATTTATTGTATTAAACGTTAATAATTAAGGTTTGTTTATCAGTACCATAGCAACGCTCAACTTCTGCTGGAATTGTCGGATTGGAAGGAACCGTCCGTAGCGGAGTTCATTTTTTTTAACGCATCCGGATGACCATCGGACACGATTTTTTTTTCGCACCACACTCGGTCGGACTCGTTTCGGACTCATTCACATGCGGTCTGCGAATCTCCATAGGAAATGAATGACTTCCTGTCGTTTCGGAGTCGCGTCGGAGAGGATTTCAGCTGCCAGTGTGAAGGCGCCGTCGGTAACACTGTTTAGTTTCTTTCTTTATGAAGCCCCTCCTTTCAAAAAGCTCAATGTGCTCTGATTGGTCAGCTGGATCAGTGTGTTGTGATTGGTCAACCACTTCCAGCATGTTTCAGAAATGTCACAGCCCTTATCATAACCGTGAGTTTAAAACACTACAACGCAACTAAATCAGGGCATTCCCCCTTTTTTGTATGCCTTGGTGAGAATGATTTAAATGAGAAAAGATTTAAAAGAAAACTCAAGACTACAATACTCAAGGCGTTTCAGGGAGTTCAGAAACAGTGCGCGCTGATATAGAGAATATCCTTTTGGAGTGAATTTTGCAGACCCTTTTCATGTACAAACAGCAACATTACAGACCAAAGAGAGTTGAAAATGTAAAAAAACATAATTTTTAAGTGCTTTACAGCTGAGGTCACCATTTTCGTTGTATGAAAAAGAGCAGATTGAATATTTTACTATAAATAACTTTTTGTGTTACACAGAAATGTGCATTTTTTGGTGATCAGTTTACCAGATGACCCTCCTCTGATGCCTGATTGCACAGCATATCTGATGCCTGATTGCAAAGCATAGCTGATGGCTGTTTAATAAATGCATGGAGCTCTCAGAGACACAGAGAGAGAAAGACACTGAAGGATGTTTGATGTCCTTAGCAAGCTGGCCCATCCTTGCCCCTGTGACCTCGCTACATTATAAATGCACTGAATTCATAAGCAGAGAACATAAAATGGCCAAGGCTACAAGAGTCTTTTGGTACAGACACAGAACTGCCAGATGAGGGACTGCTGAGTGCTCATTGGTATTTTCAGTGGAGACGACCTTTGACCTGCGGGATGTAAATGCTATGCTGAGTGCCATGATACTTCTATTTATTTATTTATTTATTAAAAGCCGGACTTGCTTCTTTCACGGACACAATTTATAATAAATGCAGTGTGATATATTTAAATGTATATTTTCGAGTTGTCCTGCTTAAGCAATCATTAGAAGCGTCTGTTAATATAATGTGTTTTTCCATCACCTCCACTGGTGTCACTTCAGTGTAAATAGATCATTATTATACACGGTTTTGGTCTAAACCAGTTTATTAAAGTATGATGATGTAGTATTTATAGGATGCCGGATTTAATAGTGTGAAAAACCACAACTAGATAATGATGGAGGGAAAGAATAAAAGTACATCCAAATTATCACTGGTGGTATTAATATTGAAACAAACCTGTAATAAATAAATAAATTAAAAAAAAAAATTCTTTCATCATTATCTCATCCTTATGTCATTGTGAGCTCATATGATTTGGACATCTTCCACCTTATATTCCACATGGAATAAATTAATATGATAATGGGTGTTAAACAGACCGAAATATAAGTTGTTATTCAAAGATGATCTTTCCCACCATCAATGAGGTGTTAATTGAAGAACCACTGCAATCAGATCTTTGAGACAGCGAGTTAATCTCTCTTGAATGAATCGGGTTCAAAAACCGGATCAAATGGTTCACTGAAAAGAACCAACTTAAATAGGATTTATTCACCGATCTGGTTTTCAAAATTAACTCATCGACTCAATGTAGGGAGTCTCTGAATTTGGGCTTGACGGGAAAATAATTGTTTTTTTAAATGTGAAAATAAAAAAAAAAGTAATTGAATGCTTCATTTTGACTAAATAAAGAGATCTAGTTGCCTATAGTTCACAACAATTCCCTTTGTCGATCAAAGCTTGAAAAGATGCCCTCTCATGTTTTTTTTTTTTACACCCAAACATTCATTTTAGTCATTTTAGAGCAAAAAGTATTCACAACAGTTCATTTTTCATTTCAACCCTCATCCAATTCCTCTGTCATTTTGCAGTGTTTTTGTAATTTTCCACACAGATTGTTTCTCTGCCATGCTCTGCAACCTTATGAATAACAACGCAGTTTTATTTTACTAGACTACGATGTGGAATACAGTCGAAAAGCTCATTACTGAGCTGTGTTATGGAAAAGGATGCTTCCCCACTGAGCCAGCTGCTGATGGCTGCTGGAATCCTCCTAAATAGTTTGAATGACCGGAGTGGAAGAAGCCTCTCAACCCTGAACCTGCAATCAGAGTAAGACTTTTGATTAGCAACTTGATGCTTATTGTCACCAAGAACCACCCATTTAGATATGAAGGGGTTATGCAACTGGCATGTGAAATTACACTATTTTTTATGTCACATTTAGGGGTGGATATGTCTGAAATCTATGTTAAGATAATAACAGACTGGCCAACACAGTGGCAGCTCATTTAAACAATATTTACGTGAGGTCTTTTTGAAAGGCTCTACTAACAGAAAAAAATAGTGGAAAATGTTGTAACAAGCACTGATTGTTTCAGTGACTTGAAAGTGTACAGTTACTTGTGTGCTAGAAATCTCATAGTTTTGAAAAAAGCCTGCTGTTCAAAATATAACCACAAATGCAGAGATGTATAAAGTACTAGAAACCCGGACTTGAGGAAACAAGTCCTCTATCAAAAAAGTGATTTGAGTTGAAGTTGAAGTGCTCTTTAAGCACCACACTTAAGTAGAAGTATTAAAGTATTCAACATTTTTTGTACTTAAGTATTGCTAGTTTATTTCTACTTAAGTACTAAAAGTATAAGTACAAGTATTGTGTCATGTAATTATTAAAGAAAGCAGTCAAAAGTTTGAACTAGCAATCAAATAAGCCGCTTTGGCGGTCATTAGTTGTCAATGTGTGTGTCAATCAATACCATTACCCTATAAAACTGCCGTGTGATTTAGGCAGCATGAAAGCCAACTTGCAACGAATGATTCGTAAAACTTTTATAATTGTAACGAGTAACTAGCAGAACATTAAAAAAATATCGAAGTAAAAGTATTAAATTCATCGAAAATATCTACTGAAGTAGAAGTATGAGAAAAAAACAATACTCTAGTAGAGTACAGATACAGCATTTTAGTACTTAAGTATAGTACTTAAGTAGTTCTACTTCGTTACTATACATCTCTGCACAAATGGCAAAACCATGTGGATGAAAAAGACTAATACTGCGTCCCAATTCACATACTATCCGGCCTAAATAGTATTCGAAAATAGAATTAGTACGTCCCAAATCGTAGTATGTTGAAATGAGTTTTCCAAAGAGACCCGGATCCGGTCAGAATCTGAAGTGCAGATCGAGCACACTCTAACGGCTGGTATTGCCCACGAGGATTCGTTTAGAACTACAAACACGAGTGAAAAGTGTTAAACAACTACAAACATGGAGGACGCGCAAGTCTGGCGGTTGTGTTGAGAGGTTTAGATGAAGGGGTTTAAGTGATTAATTCTCAGTATCTAACCTGACGAAAATGTGTTCTCTACATTATTATATTGCATCTGCAGCAACATTGTGAACTGTTTTAAAGATACGTTTATAGCCATTTACTTTTAAATGCATCATTACATTCAAATTGCAAACTCATGAGGAGATCTCCGCATGAAAGACCCATGACTGGCAGATGAAGTAGTAGTAGTGTCCCAAAGCTTGCCTACTATTTTGCTACACACTCAAAAGTATGTACTTTTTCTTCACAAAATGAGTACATAATTTTAGGGCGTAGTATAAGCGAATTGGGATGCAGCATAAATGATGTGGATGCTGTAACATTATAAATGTCTTTACTAGCTATGTTTCCATCACCCTGTTTTTATACACATTTTGAAGTATCACATCATAGTGATGAGAAGTAAGGGGAAAAAAATCCCTTAAAGGGATAGTTCACTTTTTGATATTTTTTAGCCTACCTCAAGGGCATCCAAAATGTAGGTGTCTGTCTCTTTGCTTGCACAGACCGAATCGCCCGTGCCTTCAGATCACTTTAAAGTGGCTGTCGTTACAAGAGGTAAAAACGATATAAATACTGTTAGTTTTCTCAAAAAAACCACGGCCGTTACACGGCGGTTTTTGGGGCTTAAAAACACAAAAAAGTGAAAGCACCATCCAGAGTGGAAATCTTAAAAACGCTCCACCGTCGCGTTGCCGTCTAAAGGGTGAAAACGCAAAAGTCAACTAGATAGGGAAGGTTGTACGCAGGTGCGGACTTGGTGTTGTTGTGTGGCAGTGCTCGACATTGCCACCTAGCCACCTGGAGTGCATACTACATTGAATTTCACACACTTGTGCGTCACCATATGCATGAGGATATCCCACCCATAACGCTCGTCTAAACGCAGAATACAAAGTGAAATCGCAACGCCACTTTTGCGTTTTCTCTTCAGATCATTTCCGTGTAAACATAGCCTGAAAAAAAAGTCCAAAACTGTGTATGAGTGTGACACACACCTAATTCGCATTTGTGTTTTTTGGTGAACTTTGAAAAGATTCACTTCACATTTGGATGGAAACCCAGCTGTTGTCACTTTTGCTTAATTGAATGTATCATTGCTGAAAAAAAGTGTTTTGCATCTTATTTTATGATTTCACAGTGTTCAGATGAGAGAAATGTGTGTGACAGCTGTGTGCAGGGTCAGCGCTCCGTGCCGAACATTGTTGCCATGTGTCGCCTGTGATCACGTCTGGCACTGACTAGAGCAGAGGATAACTTAATGTAAGTTATATAACAAACTTTGGAGTTTTTCACAAATGGTAGAAATAGTATTTAGAGAGAAATAAGCTAAGAGATATTACTGCAGTTATTGAAAAGAGAGTGTATAATCACTGATTTTTTGGGTTTGGGGGAGTGGGGATACAAAAAACATTTGTCCATAGAGTAAATAGGGTCTACAACACTCATTAACAGACATGTGTCAGGTGACCAAGCTCCTGCGTCAGTTGCTCCAAGGACATGGTTCAAGGAAACGCTGAATGCTGCTTCTATCTACACATTCACGCCTGTCTTTGTTGCTGAATCTGAGTCAGCCGTGAATCAAAAACATCACAGCATGGCTCTTTTTCCATCTGTCAGATTTGCATTGACAATGCAGCTTTTTCATGGTACAGAAAGAAAGAATAAAGATTTGCCTTTTGAACCATAACATAGCAAAGGGAGGAATGATAAGCTTTAGGACCGTGCCTTTGAATCTTTTGGACACAATGACTCACTATTATTATCTTGGTAATTTGAATGCTCAGCCACTGAGGAACTGAAATGACTGGCTAATACTAGTGTTTGTCTCCCTTAAAAGTTTATTTGCAGCTTATTTAGTGTTTATGAATTATTTCCATGTGCTAAGTGTCATTTCATCATAAAATGGCACAATTAAATGACTTAAATAAATTCAGTTAATTTATTGTGTAATTACCCATTTTATCTGGAAAGATCCCAAATTGCAGGTCGTCTGTAACTATTTACTCAACTAAGTTGCTGATTTGTCTTATTGTAGTGTTACCAAGTATTAGCATTTATATTTTGTGATACTACAAAAAAAAATGTTTTGCATAAAAATATGTGGATGAAAACCCAGTGATGCTGCAAACTATTAAAACACTTCCAAATAGAGTTGTAAACTTTGGAATAATAGATACCTCTCTCTATTCTTCATAATTTTAATTAGATTACATCATTATATTACTTATTTTGAAACAAAGCATGCTATTCTCAACCAAATGTTTTTGGATTGGCACAGATTCTTTGTTGTTGAAAGCACCTTGTGAAACCTCTAAGCGATCAATTATGAGCTGCTGATTAGAGAACGAGAAAGCATTGTGCTTGTTGTGAATTAATTAGAGAATAATAATAATGAATTTTACACTGATATCATCTGGTCTAAGGATATTTTCAAGAAATGTGGATTCATTATAGCCTTCTTTAGCACATTGTCTGATTCAACATAGCTATTAATTCTAAACTACCGCACGTATATCTATTGATCTGATCTTGACTGATTTGTAATGGAAGTAGGGTTGAAGCGATTCAATAAATAAAAGCAAAAAGCACACTGGGGACAATTAGTCAATAGATGTGGCTGGAGAATATACAGTACACATGAGTAGCTGTACTGTTCATACCATCAGTGGGCAAAAACCAAGTAAATTACTTTCACAATCCAAGCAGAAGAAAAACAAATAAGGGAAGGGGATGGTGGGGATTTAGCATGGATTTCCCTTCTCAGAGCTATAAATATGAGAGCCAGGGTGGGTATAACTGGACAGTTGTAGAGACGTCTGTGAATTTATGGCTTTCAAACACACGGAAGATAAGAGTTTATGTAGAAGATATTTTCCTTTCCATAATGCCACAGGCCATGGTCAGATGTCTCAACTCAAGATCTTATTTAGCCGTCCATGGATGCATGCTATTTTATAACATATTACATTTATGTATTTCCCAGAATATTAGGTTTCAATTGTTAGAAATAAAAGAGAAAGCTTTAGCTATCTGTACTGTCTAGACAGCACAATTATTTCCAGGTAATGCTACAAAATACTCAAGCTTGAATTCACTGAAATTTGAATTTCAGTGGTCAAAAACACAATATTCTACTTTTATGGTTTCTTTATTTGTTGCCTGATGTGAAATGATTTAGTATAAATATGAACTGTACTACTGTACCATTGAAAAGTTTAATGGTAAGATATTTTGTAATGATTTTGCATTTATTTTTATCAAAATACAGTACAAAAATTATAAAAACAATTAAAAAAAAGTTTTCTATTTGAATATGTTTTACAATGAAATTTAATCCTGTGATGGCAAAACTGAATAATTTTAAAATGGTGATTTAGTCCTCAGGAAGAATTTATTCAATATATTTTTTGTAACAATGTAGGAGTCTTTACTGTCACCTCTGATCGATTTAATGCATCCTCACAGAATAAAATAAATAATAATAATAAAAAAAAAATACAGACCCCAAACTTTTGAACGGTAGTGAATTGTATATAGAATTATAATATTACATTAGCATTTTAATGAAATGTGGGAGTGCAGTGCCTGGACTAGGAATGTTCTGTAGATAATTCCTTTAGCATCTTGGTTACAAAAATAAAATGCAGACAATATGTGCAAATATACTACGCTATCAGAAGCCGCAGATCATTCTTAGTGAATTTCAGAAAGAAAGCTCTCCTCCAATAAAGGAGTCCTCGAAATGTCTTGAAAGAACCTCCTTGGCTGCTTCTGGCTTAAGGAGGGTTGGGATTCAATTATCCGCAGAATTAACTAATTAGCACGATATGAAAAAGAGCAGTTCTGGAGCAGCCTCTGAAAGTGAGCAGGTAAGAGTTTCTCTCTCTCTCTCTCTCTCTCTCTCTCTCTCTCTCTCTCTCTCTCTGAGAATGCCCTTCATGCAAATGATTTCTGATTTGTCAGACATGGCTGATTCCGACTCCGCATGGCACTTCTTAATCAATTGGCAAATGGCCACTGTGATCTTTCGGATGCTAGATCATTACAGTTCAATTATATTAGCCTGAAACTTTTAACCTAGAGACAATAGGACACATGGCCCGGAATCACAAAAGCTCTAGGATTTACCATACCATTGTGCCGAGACAGCTCTCATTAGAGTCACAAATGATTTGCTCTTATCATCCGATCGTTGCTCTATCTTGCTATTGATGTTACTCGATCTTAGTGCTCCATTTGATACTTTTGACCACAACATTCTTTTAAATAGACTCTATTTAAAATTATACAACAAAGTTATGTTGGCATTATTGCATTAGGATGGTTTAAATCATACTTCTCTGACCGTAGCAGTAAATGAAGAGATGTCTTATCGAGAACAAGTTCAGTATGGCGTACCACAAGGCTCAATACTGGGACCGTTGCTGTTCACTTTGTACATGCTACCCCTAGGAGAAATCATTAGGAAGCATGGCATTAGTTTTCACTGTTATGCTGATGATATTCAGCTCTATTTTTCTTCATGCCCTGACGAAACTTTCCACTTCACAAAATTAACGGAAAAATCGGATGACTAGTAATTTCCTACTACTTAATTCTGAAAATAATAGAGATTCGAATTATTGGATGAAAAGCAGAGTTATTGGACATAAAATACGGTTTAACTCTCGATGGCTGCTCTGTCAAGTCTTCGTCGTCAGTTAGGAACCTGGGTGTGGGCTTGAATAGCAATCTTTCATTTGAAAGTCATTTTTTCATCTTAAAAATATATCTAAATTACGTCATATGCTCTCATTGACAAATTTGGAACAATTCATGCGTTCGTGACCTCAAGACTAGATTATTGAAATGCTATTATGGGTGGTTGCACTGCACGCTTAATAAACAAATTACAGCTGGTCCAAAAGTCCTCTAGTTCTTACCAGAACCAGGAAGTATGACCATATTAGCCTGGTTCTGTCAACACTACATTGGCTCCCAATGTATAAATGTTTAAATATTGCTGATTACTTACAAAGCACTAAATTTAGCTCCACAGTACTTTAACGCATTATAGTCCTTCACGTCTATTGTGATCTCAAAAATCCGTCCAGTTGATAATATAGAGAATATCAAAATCGACTGCTCGCGGTAGATCCTTTTTCGGTATCGGTAGACATTATCTGGGAAGCAGACACACTCTGTCAGTTCAAAGCTAGACTAAAAACACATCTCTTTGACCTAGCATACACATAACACACTATAGACTTCTATAATTCAATTTAGGCTGCATAGATTAGGTCAGCCGGAACTGGGAACACTTCCCATAAATCCTAACGTACTCATTACATCATAAGAAGAATGGCTTCTATACTAATATTAGTCTATTATCCAGAGGTTTATCGCAGTCTGCCAAATCCAGGCCGTATCCAGATCTGATGTAGTCCTGAATGCAGTCCTGAAGTGTCAACTAGTGATCTCCCCTGAAGGCCTCCTTCCCATCCCTTACCTCTCTACAGATACAGCGTCGTCGGGATCGGTCCAGTTTGCGTGGCTACGCCAAAGAAATAAAAATTCTGTATTGTAAATTTTAAGGCTAGACAAGTAGTTTTTTGAGGGTTGGTTTTTTAGGGAAGGACTACATACCTGTGCATATATATTCAAACTCGTATACCTGTGGAATCGGCTCTTAAAGGAGTAGTTCACTTTTGAAAAAACTTTTGCTGATAATTTACTCACCCCCATGTCATCCAAGATGTCCATGTCTTTCTTTCCTCAGTCGAAAAGAAATTAAGGTTTTTGATGAAAACATTCCAGGATTTTTCTCCTTATAATGGACTTCAATGGGAACCAGGTCCAACCGAGGTCCAAACGACAGTTAATAACAGTTTCAGATGCAGCTTCAAATGTCTTTAAACGACACCAAACGATGAATAAGGGTCTTATCATGTGAAACGATCGGTTATCTCAAAGCTTATTCCAAAAATGTAACTTTTCTAAGGACAAATGCTAGCCTTGTAATATATTGTGAGGCGTGTTTGCAACGTCACGTAATACGTAATTACGTTCAAAAGGTCACGGGCGACGTAGCCAGAAGTACAGAGTCAGTGTGTTTACAAGTTGAACGCATAGGTTGAACGTGAAAACTAACTCAAACGCCGTTTACAAAAAAAGGAATTAAAAGGTAAAACAGCGATGTCGGACGATTTTGATTCTGTACTTCCGGCTACGTCGCCCGTGACCTTTTGAACGTAATT